TCAGTGGATGGAAAATAAGAAGAGGACACATCAAGGTGAGGAGGTTTCTTGCTAAACTGGTCTAACAGGATTCTTGCTAAAGGCAGGCCTGGTAATTACACATCAAGGTGGAGGATAAGGAACTGGATCAGATATGGAGGGTGATCAGATATCACAGGAGAGGGGGAGGGACTGATTGAGCAGGATTCTTTGCTAAGACTGGCTGAGGCCGCCAAGGGCAGGGCCAAAGGAGGAGGCCTAGTGTAAAAGAGGGCTCAGAGGAGCCTGTCTAAAGTTTGGTCCAAGACAGAGCCTTTGTCAAACGAGATACCAGCTTACACCCACTTGAATAATAACAAGTGTTGATGACAATGTGGAAAAATTGGAACCCTCTTATTATTATTTTTTTTTTCCAAGGAAGATCAGCCCTGAGCTAACATCCATGCTAATCCTCTTTTTGCTGAGGAAGACCGGCTCTGAGCTAACACCTATTGCCAATCCTCCTCCTTTTTTTTTTTGCCCCCCAGTAGATAGTTGTATGTCATAGTTGCACATCCTGCTAGTTGCTGTATGTGGGACGCGGCCTCAGCACGGCTGGAGAGCGGTGCGTTGGTGCGCGCCTGGGATCCGAACCCGGGCCGCCAGTAGCGGAGCGCTTGCACTTAACCGCTAAGCCACAGGGCTGGCCCTGGAACCCTCTTATACTGCTGGTGTGATTGTAAAATGGTCCCACTTTGGAAAACAGTCTAGCAGTTCTTCAAAAGGTTAAACATAGAGTTATCACATGACCCAGCAATTCCACTCCTATATACCCAAGAGAATTGAAAACATATATCTAGAACTAAACCCAAATATCCATCAACTGAGGAATGGATAAACAAAATGTAGTATATCCATACAATGGAATACAATTTAGCTATAAAAAGGAATGAGGTATTGATACATGCTACAACTTGGATGAATCTTAAAAACACAATGCCAAGTCTAAGAAGTCAGTCACAAAAGATCACATATCACATGATTCCATTTACATGAAATGTCCAGAATATGCAAATCCATAGAAACAGAAAGCAGATTGCCTAGGGCTGGGGAAATGAATAGCAGCTGCAAATGATATGAGATTTCTTTTTGAGCTGATGAAAATGTTCTCAAATTGATTGGGATGATGGTTGCACATCTCAGTGAATATAATAAAAACCAATGAACTGTCTTTCCCAAATAAGTGAATTATATGGTATATGAATTATATCTTCATAATACTGTAATTGAAAAAACAAAAGGTATAGCATGCAAACAAATTACAATAAAATGGTTAATATTAGACAAAGTAGACTTCAGGAAAAGAAATATTACCAAACATAAACAGAGATACTTCATAATGATAAAAAGGTCAATTCATCAAAAAGTCACAACTCTTCTAAATATATCTGAACTTAATCACACTGTATCAAAATACATGAAGCAAAAAGTGATAGAACTGAAAGTACAAATCCACAAATATAGTTGGAGATGTTAATATTTCTAAGTCAGCAACTGATAGAACAAGTAGACAGAAAATCAGTACGAAGAACCAAATAACATAATCAATCAACTTAACTGACTTTTTTTTTTTTTAACTTTTATTTATTTATTTTTTTCCCCCAAAGCCCCAGTAGATAGTTGTATGCCATAGTTGCACAGCCTTCTAGTTGTTGTATGTGGGACGCGGCCTCAGAATGGCCAGAGAAGTGGTGCGTCGGTGCGCGCCCGGGATCCGAACCCCGGCCGCCAGCAGTGGAGCGCGCACACTTGACTGCTAAGCCACGGGGCCGGCCCCAACTGACATTTTATAGAACACTACGCCCAAGAAGAGTAGAATACAGATTCTTTCAAGCAGATATAAAAATATTCACTAACAGAATACATGCTGGGCCATAAAACAAAATAAATTTAAAAGAACTGAAATCATATGGAGTGAAATCAATGACACAAAAAAACTAAATTCAAAATCATTAACAAAAAGATGTTTGGAAAATCTCCAAATATTTGAAAATTAAACACACTTCTAAATAGCCCCTGTATTAAAGAAGAAACCTAAGGGTATTATCCAGCGTTATTCCAATACCAAAACCAAAGACATTCCAAGACAAGAAAACTACAGACCTTGGGGCCTGCCCGGTGGCACAAGTGGTTAAGTGAGCGCGCTCCATTGTGGCGGCCTGGGGTTCACAGGTTCGGATCCCAGCTTGTCGCTGGGCTTGTCAAGCCATGCTATTGCAGAGTCCCATACAAAGCAGAGGAAGATGGGCGTGGATGCTAGCCCAGGGCCAATCTTCCTCAGCAAAACAAGAGGAGGATTGGCAGATGTTAGCCCAGGGCCAGTCTTCCTCAGCAAAACAAGAGGAGGATTGGCAGATGTTAGCTCAGGGCCGATCTTCCTCACAAAAAAAAAAAAGAAAAGAAAACTACAGACCTCAAGAATATAGGCACAAAAATACCCAACTAATTTTAGCAAATCAACCCCAGTGATATACGAAAAATATAACACATCATGGTCAAGTGGGACTAATCCAAGGAACACAAGTTACCTTTTTTATCATTTGAAAATCAATGACTGTAATTCACCATATTAACAGAATAAATATATGATTATCTTAATAGACACCGAGGAAGCATTTGACAAAATTCAACACCCATTCACAATAAAAACTCAAACTAGGAAGAGAAGGGAACGTCATCAATCTGATAGGGGTTTCTATCAATCTCCAGCTAACATCATACGTACTGGTGCGATACTGAACGTTTTGCCCCCAAGATCAGGAACAGGGTAAAGGCGTCTGCTCTTACTGCTTTTACTCAACATTGCACTCAATGTTCTAGTGAGTGCAGTAACAACAGGGCAAGGAAAGAGATTAAAAACATACGGATTAGAAAAGAGGAAATAAAGTACAAGGTGATCCGGGAGAATCTTGTGTGGCAGAAAGTAAGGACATGTTTGTAAGCACAGCAGCCAGCGTGAGGGAGCTCCTAGGGCTGGAGCAATTTGGAGAAGTGAATAACGATAGCACTGGATTATAACCCACAGACTATAACAAAAATCCATTAGTTTTTTATAAGTATTTGAATAAATAAATACATGGAGGAAAAAGTGGCAGTTTTCTTTACAGAAAAATTCAACTAACAAATGTAGAAGGAATAAGGGAAATAAAGAACACCATGAGACTAAAAAACACAATTGCTGTAGGCAAGATCTATGAACAGTCGCTAAAATTTGTGGGCAAATGTATGATGAGAAACAGGATATCTGTATGGTCTCAAAGTGTCTCAAGATATTGATTACTTAAAAAGGGAAAATAGCAATTTTGCAGTGGAGAAACCACCTTACCCTGGGTGATCAAGGCTAATGTTATCAGTAGTAAGACACAGTGACACCATGCACCTCATGAAATGATGCACTGAGAAGGGCTCAATATCACTTTTGTGGTATTCTTACCAAAAATGCATAATCTCAATCTAACTGTGAGAAAATATCAGATAAACCCAAATTGAGAGATATCTATGAAATAAGTAACTGAATAGAAAAGGCCTGGCAGGGCTGGTCCAGTGGTGTAGTGGTTAAGTCCGTGAACTATGCTTTTGTGGCCCGGGGTTCGTGGGCCCAGATCCTGGGCACAGACCTATGCACTGCTCATCAAGCCATGCTGTGGTGGCATCCCACATAAAAAGTGGAGGAGGACTGGCACAGATGTTAGCTCAGGGACAATCTTCCTCAAGCAAAAAGAGGAAGATTGGCAACAGATGTTAGCTCAGGGCCAGTCTTTCTCACCAAAAAAAAAAAAAGAAAAGGCCTGGCACACTGTATACTCTCAATAAACGTTAAAAAAGCATTTTTTTTTGTTGGGTGTAAAAAATGGTTTTTGATCAAAATATCTGATCCAGGATCTTATGTGATAATCTCTTTATGTGGAAAAATGGCAAATTCTGATTCAGTAGGCCTGAGGGAGTACAAGATTTTGCATTTCTTTTTTTTTGTGAGGAAGATCAGCCCTGAGCTAACATCTGATGCCAATCCTCCTTTTTTTTTTTTCCTGAGGAAGACTGGCCCTGAGCTAACATCCGTGCCCATCTTCCTCTACTTTATATGGGACACCACCACAGCACGGCTCGACAAGCAGTGTGTCCATGTGCGCCCGGGATCCGAACCGGCGAACCCCGGGCCACCGCAGCGGAGCACGTGCACTTAACCACTTGCGCCACGAGGCCGGCCCCAGATTTTGCATTTCTAATAAGCTCCTAGGTGATGCCCATGTGGCTGTTCTGTGGACTGTACTCTGAATAGCAAGATCCCAAAGCATATATTTTCACATGGATTTTAATCTTTTAAAAATTTATTATTTTAGTTTATAAAATAATTTTAAAGATACACAAATACAGAAAATATGAAAGATACCTATGTATCTACTCATTTTAAAAATAATGTTTAAAATATATTTAAAAATACCAGAGATCATAATAATACTTTTGAAAGATTTTTTAAAATTATATAATCAACTTATTAAATGTTGTTAAATAGTTTAAACAGGTTACACAATTGTATATACTATTATATTTATAAAAATTTTAAGAGTAGTTTTTTTCTGGTTTGTGGTATTATAGTGGATTGGTTAAATTCTTCTTTTAATGCTTGTAGTTGTTTTTTTTTCTTTAGCCAAAATTATGTATTACTTTTATAACCAAGGGAAAAAACTAAAGGTTATAAATTAAAAAAAATTAATCAGAGTTGTCCAACACAGGCCTAATACTGACAAGTTTAATAACACTAAAGCTTTACTAATATTTACTGCATGTAAAAGCAAGTTGCCATAAATATATAATTGCCTTATTAAATCTAATTATCTCATACTTTCTAAGTCCTTACCAACTTTTAAAACTCCATTCAATTTTGACAAATACCCCTGGGATAGTTCATGAAAATATCCAAAAGAGACTACTATCATTGGGGAGCAATTTCTCTAATGATGTGGACTACCAAATGGTCCTACCTTTCAGCGGAGTTGAAAGCATCTCTAGAAACAGGTGATGACCTTGTATTTCCAACACTGCCAGTATGAGATCGTCTTCCTTTTGCTGAAGGAGTATCTAGCGGCATCTCTCCCAAACCCTATAAGTAAATATAAGAAAAGGCAGTGTAATAAAAGTCTTAGAACTAGTAAAGTAAAATAACTTGTATACTGTAATTTTCATAGCAGCCATTATTGATCTGTTTTATGATTAAAAGCATTTTAATAATCTGCTATGCTTATATTTTAAAGGACATCAGAATCATAAAATACCTTGTAATTAGTAGTAAATTAACAATATACGTGACCAACTAACAGGAAATGATATTGGCTTGGTAAAACTTTAAACTTTTAAAAATTAATATGCTATAATTTATTACTACTCTTCTTAAAGCTTAAAATCTATATAGCAAATATGAACACATTACATAAACGATGAATTCCTATGCAACACAAGTGTGAGAATAAACATTATGATAAGAACTATTTAAAACCTCTTTTTTTTTTTAATTTTATTTATTTATTTTTTTCCCCAAAGCCCCAGTAGATAGTTGTATGTCACAGCTGCACATCCCTCTAGTTGCTGTATGTGGGACGCGGCCTCAGCATGGCTGGAGAAGCAGTGCATAAGTGCGCGCCCGGGATGTGAACTCGGGCCGCCACCATCGGAGCGCGCACACTTAACCGCTAAGCCACGGGGCCGGCCCCTACCTCTTTTTTTCTTGATACTTGTACTTGAAATGCCTCACAAATATGATCTGCCTCATTTTTTTTTTTTTTTTTTTTTTGACGAAGATCAGCCCTGAGCTAACATCCATGCCAATCCTCCTCTTTTTGCTGAGGAAGACTGGCGCTGGGCTAACATCTGTGCCTATCTTCCTCCACTTTATATGGGACGCTGCCACAGCACGGCCTGACTAGGGTGCATTGGTGCACACCCGGGATCCGAACCTGGGCCTCCAGCAGCGGAGCGCGAGCACTTAACTGCTACGCCACAGGGCCAGCCCTTGCCTCATTTTAATAATTTTTTGCATGGTTATTTTAATAAGTTCTATATGAATTAAGCTGAAATCTTTAGGATCAATAGGCAGAAAAAATTCTCTAAAATGTGTATTACCATATTCCGACGTATTATCCCTTCAGAACAAATCCTTTGCCCAAGATTATCAGGGATGAATAACATAAATTACCACAAAAAAATTCTACATTATTATTATTTTTTTTTGTGAGGAAGATCAGCCCTGAGCTAACATTCATGCCAATCTTCCTTTTTTTTTGCTGAGGAAGACTGGCCCTGAGCTAACATCTATTGCCAATCCTCCTCCTTTTTTTTTTTCCCTTCCCTTTTTCTCCCCAAAGCCCCAGTAGATAGTTGTATGTCATAGTTGCACATCCTTCTAGTTTCTGTATGTGGGACGCAGCCTCAGCATGGCTGGAGAAGTGGTGCATTGGTGCGACCCCAGGATCTGAACCTGGGCCACGAGTAGTGGAGCGCACACACTTAACTGCTAAGCCATGGGGCTGGCCCTACATTATTAAATTAAACATATATTTGCAAAAAATAATATGTAAATGGAAGATTTTTTTTTTTTTTTGTGAGGAAGATCAGCACTGAGCTAACATCCATGCCAATCCCCCTCTTTTTGCTGAGGAAGACTGGCCCTGAGCTAATATCCATGCCCATCTTCCTCCACTTTATGTGGGACGCCGCCACAGCATGGCCTGACAAGCAGTGCATCAGTGCACACCCAGGATCCGAACCCAGGCTGCCAGCAGCAGAGCGCACACACTTAACTGCTACGCCACACGGCTGGCCCCTGGAATACTTTTTTATAAGACATTTTTCACATTTTATTTTGTGTGGTATTCCTGCAGTTACTCATTTCACAGACATTTCTGAATCCCAGGATATTTTCCAGGATAAATAAGACATGGGGCTTTCCCTCAAGGAGCTCCCTATCAACGCCCTGCAGTGTGGTAGGAGTTCTAATCACGGAACTCACAAGGGAAATAAAGCAGGGACTAAGCGTGATAAACATCACCATCCTCTTTTTTTTTTTTTTTTTTTGGTGAGGAAGATTGGCCCTGAGCTAACATCTGCAGCTAATCCTCTCCCGTTTTTTTTTGCTTGAGGAGATTGTTCCTGAGCTAACATCCGTGCCCATCTTCCTCTATTTTGTATGAGGGATGCCTCCAAAGCATGGCTTGATGAGTGGTGTGTAGGTCCCAGCCTGGGATACAAGCCTGTGAATCCTGGGCCACTGAAGCAGAGCACATGAACTTAACCACTAGGCCACTGCTCTGCCCCCACTATCTTCATTTTATAAAAATTAAAATTCTGGTGAAAGACACGAAGTGATGTGCTAAAACGATACAGTTGCTAATTCTCAGAGATGTGATTCAAACACAAGTCTTGTAACTCCAATAAGCCACGCTACATTCTACCAAATGTCAAGCTTCTGTTCAACAAGCATTTACTGACACTGGGAATGTGTACTTAGTCCTGCAGTTGCTGAAACGCTACTAGAGATAAATTCTGAAGAGTTAACAGAGAAATAATCAAAGAAGTAATTATTTCTATCCTTTACCTTCCTGGGCAAGTGAACTTTGCTTTTAAAGTTGTTTATAAAATAAACTCTTCCCACATACCTTTTGCCGTAAGCTTTTAATAGATTCCTTAATATATGGCAAGTCTTTAGGCGGGACATACTTTTCAAGCATTTTTTCAAAGTTAGGATGACACATCATGAGGAAAAGCATCTTTCGGCCATAATACCTAAGGATATTTGAGAAATACGTTAAGTATTTTACCTCTCTTCACAAGCTCAGTTGTTGTCCTCAGATGCAGTTTTTTTGTGTGTGTGTGTGAGGAAGATTGGCCCTGAGCTAATATCTGTTGCTAATCTTCCTCTTTTTGCCTGAGGAAGATGGTTCCTGAGCTAACATCTGTGCTCATCTTCCTCTACTTTTTGTATATGGGACACCTCCACAGCATGGCTTGATGAGCAGTGGGTAGGTCCGCGCCCAGGATCTGAAACTGCGAACCTTTGGCCGCCAAAGCAGAGCACGTGAACTTAACCACTATGCCACCAGGCTGGCCCCAGTTTTCTTTTCAATAGAAAAAAACCTATCAACATCAACATTACCATCCATATCTTAAGTTAGCCACTGAAACACTAACTGTACTAGAGTATAGCACTTTCTTGCCACCCATCTTTAAAAAACACTAGCTTCAAATCTTTCAGCTATGCGTCAGATGGAGAGCCAAAAGCTTCAATTCTCTTGTTCTGGCACCGTGGGGTCCATATCAAAGCTGGCACTCGGCAGAATTGTGAGTTAGGAGAAGTCGTCTTTGTTCAGGGCTCCTTGCCCAGTGACCTTTTGCTGCTCACTTGCTGCCAGATGTTCCGGCTTGAGTCAACCTTCCCTAGGTTCTGTATTTCTGACCCTCTCTCTCATTTCCCTGCCAAAACTTACCTGGGTTCCAATTCTTCAAAAACCTCTTGTCTGCTGCCTAAACTACACCCAAAGTTAGTTGATAAATCTTGGTTGATACATTAATGAATGTGTAGTGCTCTCCAAACTAGGTTTTTTATGTTATATGAATTTTAAAATAATTCTTTTAGGATAATAGCTTAAGCCAAGGTATCACTGTAATGGTAAAACCTCAGATATCATGGAAGTGCATGTTGGAGATATTTTTGGATAGAGGGGTCTTATAGTACCTCATAATAATACCATATTATTATTCTTCAAAAAGGCTTGACTCTAAAATAAATTACAGTATATTTTTGCCTACAACTTGGAATATATGGGACTAGAAGAGTCAGAGAAGGCAAGGCTTTTGTGGGGGAGGGGTATAGGATGCTCTCAGGATCACCTATATCAACCAGACTCCTTCAAATGTAATAAAATTACAGAAAGAGAGGTAATATCAGAGAATAAAAATTACTTTTCTCTCCCCACAACCGGAATAAGGTCTATATCCAGATAAGTAGCTCCTAATGAGTTAAAATTTCAAAGATGATTTTAACTTTTAGCCCAGAATGGTAACGACTGTAGGTCTACCATCAGCCCTAATGATATGGGAATGGCTAAAACAAACAAGTAAACAAGCAATAGTGACAAAATGTGAGAAATATTGAAACTGGAAAGTTGTAACATTTTATAATTTTAAAACGTCAAATAAGAATCTAAGAAATGACAAAATAGACTAGAAGAATTACCATGCCATTAAAGAAAGGCTAAGATGTACACAAAACCACCACTATGAACGTTTTTTGTTCCTAATTAGTCTATTATGATCCAACTCTCCTAAACTGTTTTGAACTTCACTGTGGCATCCAGAACTTCTAAAATGGTTCCCCAAAGATGTCCTTCTCTAATCCTACAGTTTGTGAATATGATGAGCTATAACTTCCAGGATTACGTTATGTTATATGGTACCGCTGACTTTACGACAGGGAGATTATTGGTGGACCTAATTTAATCACACGAAGCCTTAAAACCAGAGAGCTTTCTGTGGTTAGTAGCGGCAGAGGAAGTCAGAGAGAGTCTCTGCACGAGGGGGATTCAACATGCTGTTGTTGGCTTGAGGATGGAGGGGGCTGCATGACAGGGAATTTGGGTGGCCTTAAGGAGCTGAGAGGGGACCCTGGTTGACAGCCAGCAAGGAAATGGGGACCTTAGTCCTATAAGCACAAGGAACTGAATTGGGCCAACAACCTGAATGAGTTTGGAAGGAGATTCTTCCACAGAGCCCCAAGAAAAGAGCCCAGCACTTCATCACCTTCATCTAGGTTTGGGCGACCCCAAGCAGAGAACCCAGCTGAGCCGCGCCCAACTGCTAACCTAGAGTGGTAAGCTAAAAAAATCTGTGTTGCCTTCAGCCACTATGTTTGTAGTCATTTGTTACTCAGCAATAGAAGACAAAGACATTTACCTTCTACATTTAGCTTTCAGTATGATGACTTCCACAAGATTAGCTCCAGTTACCTAAGGTAATGGACACCTTTGTCTTAAAAGGTTAAAAATTTGATATCCTTCACTTTGGTCTCTGTGAACTTAGGATCCTCCTTCTTCCCCTTTAATTTCCCTTCATATATAACTGCCATATATTTTTAGATTTTGTAAGGGACATTATCAATCACCTAGTCTGAACTTCCTAATTTTACAGACAAGGAAACCGAGGCTAACAGAGGTTAAGCAACTTGCTTAAGGGTAAACCGTGATTGGGTCTAGGAATTGAACCTCGGCTTCTGACTACATCCAAAATTTCTGTCACCAATACAGCTATTGTCCCATCCAAATGTTAATTATTCTGTCATCTTTCTCTGACTGTTCTTAACCTTCCTAAAACTGTTCTTCAAGTACAGCAATCAGGAATTCATGGAATTATCTAAGTGCAGATATCTCATGTTTCAGGAGATATGTTATCCATTTGTTTCCTGTATTTTTCATGTGCACCTATTTCCTTGATTTTACCTGGCTGCTTGGAAAATACATCATTTTCCCCTAAATGCATTACCTTACATTTGCCCACAATGAAGTTCTTCTGCCACTTTTCTGCGCACTCAGTCTTGTGCCATTTTCATGCAGTTCATCCCTGTGACATGGCATCTCACTACCCAGAAATATGTAGTGTCATCTGTAAATGTGGAGAATCCACTGTGCACTCCCTCAAGAGTGTTTACAAATTGGTTAAATAAGACCATCTCCCAGCTCCAATCCCTGGGGAACTCACTTGTCTATTTGGAAAAATGTTCATTCTTCTTTAACCTTTGTGGCCGACTTTTATGCCCTTATACTAACAGATTCAGCAAATATTATGAGCAGCTATTCATTCACCTGGTTTCTTGTGAACTGTCCTGAGCAAATTTAGCAGCAGCTGGTAATATACGGTCAGCCATATCCTTTGTTCCAGACAAAATACGCTCTGGCTCCATAAATTCCACTACATCTGCTAAATGCTGGGCTGTACATCTTCTTACTGCAATGTGTAAATGGCTACAAGAAAACATGGTCAATTAGAACAAAGTTGATGTATGAACTATTTTCCAAAGATACACCTTTAAAGTTAAATGATTAAACTACTCCTAACCCTCAACAATCATCCTCAGAGGCTAAAATGACAAATTACTTGCATTAGCTATCCCTCCCCAAGAATTAAAAAGAAAACAAAATAATTACTGACATTTATTTAGTTCTAGATCTATGAATGTAAGTAACATTATTAGAATAACAATATTATTATTCTTTGTATGCTCAGCACCTAATATGATGTTTATCACATAGGAATTATTTGTTTTTTGACTGAAATAATACTGAAATTTGCTTGTGTTCTTCCTACACCTCAGATTGCAAACAATTGCATTTTTAGTTTAAGACATGTCAAGATTATTTGGAGCGTTACCTTTGTCCTCCATTGATAAGGGAAACAACGGCCCGTGCAGGAGTTACATTGCTGACCATGGCTCTCAATGCTTTGTCAATGTCTTCTCTTATAAACGTATTCGATTCTCCAGCCTTGTGCAACAAAACTTTTACTGTACTATCTAGTTCTTGATCCATGTTCTTTTTCAGGTAAGTGAAAAGATCACTTAAACAGACCACAGCAGCACGAGAAACTCCAGAGCGTAAATTTTTCACCTAAAAAAAATTTCCAAAATGTATATTTTGTTGATATTCTGAAAGAAAATCAGTAATAATGACTTTGAAATCAAATTTACTATTAAAGTAACATGTTTTAATACGTATTATATTATATCCTAAAAATCAACATTTAATAAATTTTTTAAAATGTTGCAAAGTAAGGCATGAGCTACTTTAACTACACACAAGCCTACTCATATCATTTAGTATAGAGGTTTTTTTAAAGGTCAAGTAATGTGGCATACTTTTTCTTTGTTATTCAAACAATTCTTAACTCAACTGAAGTATAAGTTTACCTCTTGAACTACAGCAAAATTTGTTTCATGCAACTTTGTAGTCAATATTTCAGAATGAAAAGCAGCTAAGCATCTAATAAAATTCAGTCCCTCTATTTTCTTCTCCCTATAGGAAAAAGGAGCAAATGACAAAATCACTCATTAACAGGGCTGCACTGGAACAAGGGGTCAGATCTCTTCTGTGCGTATGGAACACTGCCAGCAGGGAGACCTTGCGTATTTTCCCTTATCATTTAGGAATCTCAAATAAAAAGTACGTAAAGTTTTGTTTGCTCCAATAGTTCTCTTTCATGATTCAAAAGATCTTTTAAAAGCCAAACCACTATTGACCGTGACACTAAGTTCATACTTTGTAAACAAACAGGAAGACTTCTCCCTGAGTCAGAATGCCATATTCCTTCTAGAGAGAAGAAGGGAAAGGAACAGAAACAAAAGGTGAGGGAAGCAGTAAAACAAAAACGAAGGAGAAAAGCAACTGCCATCACCCTGTTGGTGAATATATAACCCAAGAGCAGAAAACCACCAATAGATGGTTCTGTAACGTGTATTTCTTTTCCACTATCTGACCTAAGGGGCCAGATGAAGGGTGGGTGGATACTAACAAGAGGATGAGATTCAAGTGGGATTTAGACATAACATTTCAAACTTGATGGTTTTCATCTTGTGGGTTTGAACAATGTGAGCTAAGATGAGTTTCCTTAGTTGGTGATATTGATGGCGGTCATTTTTTAAAGCATTTAAATCTCCAGAATTGAGTTGTGGAAAATGGAGAAAAAAGACCTAAGATTCTAAGGTGGCAAGAGTAAACCTATTTAATAGCTGTGTGGTTCAAAATTTTCATGTTTTGGATAAGCATAAAACAGTCTACAATTACAGTTTAGATGCAGAAACAATCCAATTCTATATACACAAAAGTAAATAATAGAAAGTGGAGTCAAGAAAAGAGGGAGGCAGAAAAAGAAATTAAGAAATAGTGGCTGAAATTTTCCCATATTTGATCAAAACTATAAACTCTGAAATTCAAGAATAAATCCCATACAGAATAACCACAAAAAAACACAACATGGAACACCATAATCAAGTTGCTAAAAAGAGTGTTAAAGGAAGTATTCTTATAAGTAGCCACAGAAAAAAAGGCACATTACATATAGGAAAACAAAGATAATAATTACAGACGACTTCAGGTCAGAAATATGCAAGCCAGAAACCAACTGAACAAAATCTAGGTGCCAAAAGGAAACAAACAATAAAAAAAACTTAATTTAAGGAGGAATACACAAATCTTCGATTATAGTTGGAAATTTCAAAAGCCTTTTCTTAGTAATTGATAGACTAAACAGACAGGACATCACTAAGGATATAGAAGACTTAACACTATCAACCAATCTGACCTACTTAACATTTAAAGAACACTACAACCAACGACAGCAGAATGCACATTCTTTTCAAGTTCACCTGAAATGTTCCTTTGAAAAAGATAAAATTCTCTGTTCTCATGGATCTTACAATGAGAATATATATATAAGGTCATATATATGACCATATATATGAGGTCAGGTTGAAAGATGGGATATTAAAAATAAAGTAGCACAGGCGGATGGGAGGAAGAACACTATTTTAGTTACGGTCATGATAGGCTTTTCTGAGGTGACATTTAACAGATGTTCAAATGAAGTAGAAGAGAAAGTCATCAGGAGAATGTTCAAAGAATTAAGTACAAAGATCTTGATGTAGAAATGAGCCTGGGTGTTCAGGAAACAGCCAGATGGCTAGAGTGGATAAATAAGGCTGAGCATGGTAGGGGATGAGGCTACAGAAAGAGGCAAGGGACAGATAATGAAGGACTTTATAAGCAATGAGAAGCAGTTAAAAACATTTTTTTTCTAGTGTTCTAGGGAGCCACTGAAGGGTTTTGCTTGGGAAAATTCCATGGTCTGATTTATGGGTTTTTTTTGGGGGGGGTGAGGAAGATTGGCCCTGAGCTAACAACTGCTACCAATCTTCCTCTATTTGCTTGAGGAAAATTGTCTCTGAGCTAACAGCTGTGCCAATTTTCCTCTATTTTGTATGTGGGATGCCACCACAGCATGGCTTGATGAGTGATGTGTAGGTCTGTGCCCGGAATTTGAACCCACGAACCCTGGGCCATTGAAGCGAAGCACGCAAGCTTAACCACTACACCACCAGGCTGGCCCCCTGATTTATGTTCTAACAGCATCACTCTGGCCGATGTATGAGGGCGGCAATAATGGAAGCATGGAAACCAGTGACAACACCACTATGGCCAGATGAGAGGTGACTGTGGTTTGGATTAGAGGATCAGCAGCAGAGATTGCAGTAAGTGATTGGGTTTAGGATCATGTTCTGAAAAAAGAGGAACTAATGGAATGTGAAGAAATGAAAAAAGTCAACACTGGTTTGGTATGAACAACTAAATGTTCATGGCAGGGCTATTAACTAAGATGGTGAACACTGAGGGAGAAGCAGATTTGGGATTAGGAGGCGGGGAAATAAAAAATTCTGTTTTAAGGATTTTTGCATCTATGTTCATGAGATACATTGGATACTGAACTATAGTTTGCTTTTCCTGTCTTTGTATGGTTTTGGTATCAGGGTAATATTGGCCTCAAAGAATGAGATGGGAAGAACTCCAGCCTCTTCAATGTTCTAGAATTTTGTGTAGAATTTATTTCTTCCTTAAACGTTTGTTATAATTCACCAGTGAAACCATTCGAGCCTGGAGTTTTCTTTGTGGGAAAGTTTTGAACTCAAATTCAATTTCCTTAGTAGATATTGGGTTATACAGATTATCTATTTCTTTTTAAGTGAATATTGGTAGTTTGCGTCTTTCAGGGAATTTCTTCATTTCACTAAATTGACCAATTTATGGACATAAAGCTATTTATCTTATTCCTTTATTATTTAATAGCTGTATGATCACTGGTGATGTTCCTTCTCTCATTCCTGATGTGATAATTTGTTTCTTCTCTCTTTTTTTCCTTGATTAGTCTGATTCGAGGTTTATCAATTTTATTAATCTTCTCCAAGAATCTGCTTTTGCTTTCATTGATTTCTTCTACTGTTTGTTTTCTATTTCATTGATATCTACTCTGATCGTTATTATTTCCTTTCTTTGCTTATTTTGGGCTTCATTTGCTCTTCTGTTTCTAGTTTAAGTTGAAAGCTGAGGTCATTGATATAAAACTTTTCTTCTTTTCTAATATAGGTGTTACAGTGCTACAATTTCCATCTAATTTAGCTGCATCCCACAAATATTGATATTTTTCATTCTTAATTTCATTAAATTCAAAATACTTCCTAATTTCCCTTTTGATTTCTTCTTAGATCCATGGGTTACTTATAAGTGTGTTCCTTAGTTTCCAGATATTTAGAGATTTTCCAGGTATCTGTTCCTAATTTCTAATTTAATTCCACTGTGGTCAGAGAACAAAATCTGTATAATCTGAACCGTTTTAAATTACTTGTTTTATGTTACAGAATATGGTCTTTCTTGGTAAATGTTCCTCGTGAACTTTAAAAGAACGTGAATTCTGCTGTTTTAGGTGGAGCGTCCTATAAATGTCAATTAGGTCAAGTTGGTCAATAGTGTGTTCAAGTCTTCTGTATCCTTACTGATTTTCTTTCTACTAGTTCTAACAATTAATGAGAGTGGGTTGTTGAAGTTCCACCTACAATTGTGGGTTTGTTTATTTCTCCTTGCGGTTCTATCAGTTTTTGCTTAATGTATTTTAAAGCTCTGTTGTATGGTAAGTAAATGTTCAGGATTGCTGTCCTCTTGATGTGTTAACCCCGACATTACTATGAAATGACCCTCTTTATTCTTGATGTGATAGACAGAATTCTAAGATGGCACCCACGACTCCTGCACCCGGTGCACACGCCCTGTGTAACCCCCACCCCTTGAGGGTGAATATGATGGGATATTACTTCTCTCAATCATGTTACATTACGTGGCAAAAGGGATTTTGCAAGGTGTCCCACAGCTCACTGATTCTCTGTTCATGTCTTTCCTCTAGCTTCTTTAACACACAGAATAGAATTATAACTATAATTATAATGTCCTTGTCTACTAATTCTATCATCTGTATCATTTTTGGATTGGTTTCAATTATTTGCTTTTTTTCTTCTCATTATGGGTTGTACTTTCCTACTCCTTTGCATGCCTGGTAATTTTTTACTGGATACTAGGCATTTTGAATTTTACCTTAGATATTTTTGTATTCCTATAAATATATTTGAGCTTTTTAAAGAAAATTTATTGTTTGCTGCTTTTTTTTTTTGATGAAGATTGGCCCTGAGCTAACATCTGTTGCCAATCTTCCGCTTTTTCTTTTTTCTCCCCAAAGCCCCAGTTCATAGTTGTATATCCTACAACTAGGATGTGGGACACTGCCTCAGCATGGCTTGATGAGTGGTGAGTAGGTCTGTGCCCAGGATCTGAACTGGCGAACCCTGGGCCACCCAAGTGGAACGCATGAACTTAACCGCTACACCGCCGGGCCAGCCCCTATATTTGAGCTTTGTTCTGGGATGTAGTTAAGTTATTTGGAAAGTCTGATCCTCTCAGCCCTTGCTTTTATGCTTTGTTAGGCGAAACCAAAGCAGTCTTTAGCCTAGGGTTTATTTTTTGTGAAACAAAACTCTTCTGGGTAATCTACCCAATGCCCTGTGAATTATGGGGCTTTCCACTCTGCTGGGAAGTACTGCTGGCCTTGCTATACACTCCAGGGATTGTTCCCTTAACTTCTTCGAGTGGTCCTTGCTCTGGCTTCGTGTAATTTACTCATACACATACCCTGACCAGTATTCAGCTAAATATTTGAGCAGAATCCTCTGAAGGTCTCTGGACTTCTTTGTGAAGCTCTATCCTCTCTGGCATTCTGCCCTGCAAACTCTGGCTACCTTGGCTTCCCCAAACTCCCAGCTCCATCTCCATCTCTGCTGGAATCTACATGGTTTTCCTCTCCTTGAGTTGTCACCCAGAAATTCTCTGCAGGACGTAAGCCGGGGCAATTGTAGGGCTCACCTCGCATGTTTCCCATCTCTCAGGGATCACCATCTTTCATTGTCTGGCCTGGTGAACAATATTTTGAAAACCATTATTTCATATATTTTGTATGATTTCTTTAGTTCTTTCGGATGTGAAGGCAAATCTAATGCCTGTTAATCCATCTTGGCAGGAAGTAGAAGATCAAGAGTTCTATTTTGGACATGCTAAATTTAAAATGTCTATGGCGTCCAAGTGGAAGTGTCAAGTAGGCAGATGGATTACAAGTCTAGAGCTCAAGAAGATACCAGGGATCCAGACACACATTTATGAGAAATCAGAGTATGGATGGAATTTAAAGCTATGAAACTGAATGAAATCATTTAAGGAAGGGGTTGGCAAACTACGGCTCGCAGAGCAAATTTTGCCCCGTTAGATATTTTTTATAAGTAAAGTTTATTGGAACACAGTCATGCTCATTTGTTTTCATACTGTCTAGGGCTGTATCTGACTACAACAGCAAAGTTGAGTAGCTGCGACAGAGTGCCTACAAAGCCTAAAATATTTACTGTCTGGCTCTTTACCAAAAATGACTGCCAGACTGGATCTATAAAATGAATATAGACCGAGAATGCGAGTGGATTGAACGTCAGAGCACTCCTCAATTTTGAAGACAAACAAGAAAGAAGGAATCAGAACGTACTGAAGCAGGAAAAGAACCAAGAGACTAAATTTTCCAAGGCAAAATGAAAAAAAGTATATTAAGAAGAAGGGAGTATCAACTGTGTCAAACGTTGCTGAAAGGCTAAGTAAGATGAGGACTAATAAATGACCGGTGTAGATTTATCAGAATGGTCACTTTTGCAGTTTTAGGGAAGTGGTGGTTATGGTGAGGAGGGCTGAAGGCCAAATAAAGAAGGTTAAGAGAACGTGAGGTGAAAAAGTAGAGACAACGAGTCAGCCTTTTTGAGGACTTTTGCTAAAGAAGGGGGAGGAAAAAATGTGAAGATGGGGAGTTTAGTGAGGTTTTTAAAAAACAGGAGATATTATAGCACAATTTTACGTTGATGAATATGATCTAGTAGAAAAGCAAAACTGATGAAGTGTAGAATGGGGATGGAGAGAGACACTGAAGGCACAGGAGAGGAAATGCGGCAAGAGCAGACAGTGGATGCTCCAGCTGAAGCAAGTGGGACACCACTGTCTGTCTGGTTCCCTTGAGTCACTGGCTGGGCTGGCTGGGTGGCTGCTGCTGCAGCCCTGGTAGGAACAGATAAGTATAGCCAGGACTGTTACAGGACATATTTCACACAGAAACACATGGAGAAATGGTGAGATCTGTATTCCAATACTAAAAGGTTTGTGTAATCCATAATGAAGCTAAACTATGTCCTTACGGTACATAAGTTATACTATAACTGGTAATACAGTACTATTAGGACCAGAGTTCAGCTACATTAATAAGTTAAAAAAAATTCAGACTGCCTAAGAACTAAAATAATCATTTCTAAGACTATTTTAATAGGAAATGTTTCAAGATTTTTAATAAAAAAATTTATATAAAACTTTTGGAACTCAGCTTAGTTATAAGTTAAGAATGCTGAACTTACCAATCCTCATCAGCTAAAAGCCTTAGGGCTTCTGTTAGTGCTATTTCTGGTTTGGAAAATGGCCGTAGTTCTAACGAGTCCGTTATTTCTGGACTGTGAGTGACAGAAGGCACCCTTTCTTTATACTGTGGAACGGCTCCAGGAGATGCCTCACCTAAAACAAAAAGCCATATAAAACAGCAGAGAACTTTGATACAAAGGGATACAAATGGTATTCTGACTACAAATTCTAAGAATATTTCCTATAGAAACTAGTACTATTAGTTTAGTCTCCAACAAAATTGTAATACCCAGATGCCAAAGCTTTTTAAAACTTTACTTTTTATATAAAAACAATTAAATTACATTGAATACAAATATATAAGTGGTTTTTCAGTCATGAGTCACGTAACAAAGTGTAGCTTTAAGATAAAAGTCACTAAGAAGCATTATGATCCCATTTTGTAAAAACATGTGGATATATACCTGTTTTACTATATAGCTGACAACCGAAAATGAAGCTTCATAGCATCTCTATATAGAATTCTAGTTGAATTCTAAAAATACCAATTTTTGTTATTGGTATAGAATTAATGGTCTATTACAAATCCTAAGACCATGAACAGTAATAAGAACGACACCTACACACCACTCATTGAGCCATGCTATGGCAGCATCCTACATACAAAATAGAGGAAGATGGGCACAGATGTTAGCTGAGGGGCAATCTTCCTCAGCAAAAAGTGGAGGATTGGCAGCAGATGTTAGCTCAGGGCCAATCTTCCTCACTAAAAAAATAAATAAATAAACAAATAATAAAAAATAAAAATAATTAAAATCCAAAGGCAACAAGCATTAATGCTATTAGCTAACATTTATTAAATACTTTGTGCCAGATCTTGTGATAAATACTTTACAAACTTTACTACACTTAATTCTCTCAACAAAGCTGAGGTAGACAGAGATAGAGATAACTCTCATTATCTCTATTCTGAGCTGAGAAAATTGAGTCCTATAGACTACGAAATTTGTTCAAGGTCTCGATGCTAATGAGTGGCAAAGGCAGGACTAGCTCTACCTTTGATTTCATGTAAAGAATTCTAAGACAGAATCCCTGTTTTCAAAAAATTTACCACATTCCTTGTTAAGAAGAGATAAGCAAAAAACATAAATACAATATTTTAGATTACTGTAGTGATACGTTAGTACCAATTTTTGACCGAGTAAATCATATATAAGAAAGATGATATGACCATTAAAGAATATAATAAATAGACCTCATTTTATTTTATTTGCTGAAGAAGATTTGTCCTGAGCTAACATCTGTTGCCAATCTTCCTCTTTTTTTTTTTGCTTGAGGAAGGTTAGCCCTGAGCTAACATCTGTGCCAGTCTTTCTCTGTTTTGTATGTCACTGCCACAGCATGGCTGACGAGTGGTGTAGATCCACGCCTGGGATCCAAACCTGCAAACCTGGGCCACAAAAGCAGAGCACGCCAAACTCAACCACTACACCACGGAGCCAGCCCCTATTTTTTTTTTGACGATTCAGATGTACCCTCATTAGGTTTCATACGTAAGACTGATATCTATAAATAAACTCCTGCAGCTTTGGAATGTCACAACCCAGAAAGAACAGCAAATAATAAATACTGCTACTACCATCATTTATTGAGATCCTGCCTGGCATTGTGTTAAGTGCTGCATTTACATTATCTCATTTGATTCATTCAACAACCCTATGTGATACTGTTTTCACCTAAAAAAAGTAAAATAAAACAAAAATATTATTCTGAAAAAGGAGGTATACAGAATACCAATCTAAAGCAGTGCTGCTCATGGGGCCGGCCCCGTGGCTTAGTGGTTAAGTGCGCGCGCTCTGCTGCTGGCGGCCCGGGTTCGGATCCTGGGCGCGCACCGACGTACTGCTTCTCTGGCCATGCTGAGGCCGCGTCCCACATACAGCAACTAGAAGGATATGCAACTATGACATACAACTATCTACTGGGGCTTTGGGGGAA